TCACCTCCGGGGCAGGCGGGAATCGAACTCATGAGGAAGTAGCTTTAGCTTCTCAGTGCTGTGCTTTAACCTGCTGCGCCACCAGGGAGGGCCACAAAATGTATTTTTAAAGGAGAAAAGTTAAAATGATTAAAAATTGTCTCGTTAGGGTTTTAATGTTACTAGCAGTGCATATCATAAGAAAATAAAATCCTGAAAATTAAGAAAAAAAATACAGATTAGTCCAAAAATCATACTGAGTAAGACATTTCAGAGTTTTAGCTGGTCAAACCCCTAAATTCCCTTCTTATGGAAGAACACAGATGATTCTACATGTGTAACCCCTAGTTTTGTTGGGGGTGTTGTTGGTAGTCAACAAGCTACTGAATTTGAATTTATTTTGCTATAAATGCGAGGATAATACATCAAATTCCTGGTATTCAAACAATCAACAAATGTTACCGATAAATATTTTTGTATCAATCAGTAAGTATTGATTGCTATTTGGTAGAACATTCTAAGGAAAAATGTATATTTAGTTGTTCATTAAGTATTCTTGAATTTTTAAAAAATTCTAAAAGTTAACACTTCTTAATGTAGTGAAAAGCTACATTTTAATTCTGTACATTTTAATTTCTGTACACAAATTCCTGAAAAAAAAAAACTTAAGGAAAATCATAATCTATGTTGTGTGTGTTAAAGCACATATTATAATGGTCTTTTTCATTTTGTTGCTTGCAAAGTAGTGTTCCTGAATCTAAGCAAATTTTAGTTAACTTTATTTATAAGGTCTTTATTAATATAAGTCATTCCCAATTACCCATGCTTTATACAGATAAATTGCTAATGTCATCAGATTCATTCAAAACTGCCTAATCTATAATTACATTTTATTTTCCCCCTTGTTTCTTTATTCTTTTAAATTTTATGATCAATGCATGATGAATTCTCACAACAGTTTTAAACATTCAGTAAGAGAAATTCTAAATACATTAGTTCCCAAGCCCTAGAAATTATTCCTACTCTTTGTTTTTAAGTAGATTTTTTTGATATATAATAGAACTTTGCTTTATTGGAAAGACTGCATGGAAGCAATACTGGGTTGACTTTCATATTTTATCATTGTTTTAAAAAAAATACGGACTGGTGACAACATAATTATCATTCACAATTATATATTTTGAAAGCTCTTGGTATTCATCACTCTGTGTGCTCATTGGTTCAGGGAGCCCCCGCGTGTATGAGTTACCACCTCACTGTAACATTTTCATGGCAGGCTGACTCCTCCCCATCTTGTTTCTGTATTCTGAATTGCCTTAGTTATTCACCCTCAATTCAGTTTTAGAATTAAATTTTGTCACCATCCAAAGACCATTTGGCATTTGTATGGAATTAAATGGAATCAATAAAATAATATGGGAGAAAGAAGATCATTTGGGGAGA